CCCCGCCGCCCCCCGGGGCCGGTTTGTCTCCGGGCTGCCCCCGGGGCACCGGCTCGACGGCCCCCGCTGGCCCGGCGCGGCTCCCCCGGGGACCGGCTGTTACCGGGGCGCAGCAGCGAGGGAACCTCCGCTCCTCCGACTTAATTTTTTCTTTTAAAAATAATCTATTTTTGGTTTTTCTTTGGGCAAACACGGGGGTTTATCTGCGCTTTGCGAGCAGCGGGATGCGGAGCCCGGCCCGGGGCTTGCGGAGGAAAATTATCTCGTTACTTCGCGGAGGGAAGCGTGGAAAAGGAGAAAAAATTTGGAGGGATTTGGGTTTCTTTTTTGTTCTTGTTTTAAGGAAAATCTGCGTTTACCCCCGCGCAGCGCGGAGCCGGGAACGCTGCGGCCCGGCCGGCTCCGCTCCCACCGACCGGCCCGGTCCCTTCAACGCCACCGGCGGAGCCCAACCGGGCAGCGCGGGCACAGAAACCTCCGTCTCACCCCCGGTTCTGTCCCCCCGCCGCGGTTCAGCCTTCCCGCGGGCAACCGCGGAGCGGAGCGAACCGCACGCCTTCGTGGTGTTCCCGCAAAACCGGTGGCTTCCCCACGAATTTTCTCGCCAACGATTCCGGCCGGAGCCGCCGCCGGTCCTGCCCGCAGCCGCGGCCCCGGGGGAGCTGTCGGGGGCGCCGGGACCGCCGGAGATGGAGGCGGGTTTAATTTGGTTTTTTGGGGGGGTGCGGGGGAGCTGAGGGCTGAACGGGGAGGTTACGGAGCAGCGGTTTCCAGGGGAGGCCGCGGGGCGAGCCGCTCCCGTCGGGGACGCGTGTGTCGGTGGCCCCGCGGCCGCCACTCCCGCCCCGTCCCGTCCCGCCACGGCCGGGCACAGCGCGGGTGGCGGCGGCGGGGTGAAAGGGGGGGCCGCGCTGTGTTCCCAGCCGTTCCGCGAGGCGCCGGTTCCGGCCCCAAAACGGCCCCATCGCGCCCCAAAACCCTCCGGCGGCGGCGGCGGCGAAGAAGCCACCGGGGCCCCCGACGTGCGCCCGCCCCGCCGGGAGGCGTGGTCAGAGAGGGGGAAACCACGCCCACTTCAGGCGACACCACGCCTCCTGTATACTAGACCACGCCCCCTTTTGGTCGAAGCCACGCCCCCTCGCCCCGCGGGAGCCGGAGGGTGGGCGGGGCGAAGGACCCCCCGCCGCCCCCTCATTGGCTCGACGCCCCGTCCGTCAGGGCGCGGCCCGCCCCCCCCGGGGCCGGCAGTAAATACGGTACCGGGCGGCGCGGCTGACACTTTGGGAGCCGGTTTCGGGGCCGCCCGGCGGAGGGGAGGGGGGGACCCGCCTGCAACCGAGGGCGCCCGGCCGCGACGTGGCTCTGCTGGGGCTCCGCGCCGCCTTTCCCCGGGCGGGGCTGGAGGGAACCGCGGTTAAACCGGCGGGGACGAAGAGCCCGGTAGCCCGGCGGCGGCGGCGGAGGACACCCCGCGTCCCGCTTTCCCCGCCGAGGACGGCGATCCGTCGGGACGGAGTTAGGCAGCGCGGGGCCCGGCCGCCGCTGCCCCCGCCGTGCCCCACCACCGCCGAGCCCCGCCGCAACCGAGCGGTGGGCTCCGGGCCCTACCGGGTCCCTCCTGGTACCCCCCGGTCGCGGCGGCTCCCTGACGCCCGCCGTTGTGATGCGTATTCCCGTAGATCCGAGCACCAGCAGGCGCTTCACACCCCCCTCCACGGCCTTTCCCTGCGGTAAGATGGGCGAGAACAGCGGGGCGTTGGGGGCCCCCGCCCCGGGAGCCCGGGCTCGCCCCGAGGTCCGCTCCGTCGTGGATGTACTGGCCGATCACGCCGGAGAACTGGTCCGCACCGACAGCCCCAACTTCTTGTGCTCGGTGTTACCGTCCCACTGGAGGTGCAACAAGACGCTGCCCGTCGCCTTCAAGGTAAGTCCCGGGGACGGTGGCGACCGGGCAGGTAGCCCCGGTGGCTCGGTGGGGGACCGGGGGCTCCGGGTTTGCCCTTCGCCCCGACCCACTCGCCTTTTTTCCCTCCCGCCCCCTTTTTTTTTTTTTTTTTTTGGTTTTACCTCTCCTTTGCCTTCCCCTTCAGGGGGCCCCGGTTCTTTTTG